GTTGCTGTACCCAAGATATGAAAACTAACTCAGAGTGCACCACATTGCTATGCTTGGGATATTCCAGTCTAGGAGGAAGAACCATGTTGCTTTACCTAAGATGTGAAAGCTAACATAAACTGCACCACATTGCAATGCCTGGGATATTCCATTCTAGCAGGGAGCACCATGTCACTGTACACAAGGGATGATGGACTCAGTGACCTACTAAGAGAAAAATAGCTCTCTGTGCCAAGTGCTATTGCACACTCACTCATGGAAATGAGCAGTTCTTGAGAACCCAATTGTGCAGCTACTCAAAAACTTACGAGCATATTTGGAACCCATAGGTTCAGTACCATGATCAAAANAAGGTATGATGGACTCAGTGACCTACTAAGAGAAAAATAGCTCTCTGTGCCAAGTGCTATTGCACACTCACTCATGGAAATGAGCAGTTCTTGAGAACCCGCCAATTGTGCAGCTACTCAAGAACTTACGAGCATATTTGGAACCCATAGGTTCAGTACCATGATCAAAAGAGCCATCCAATGATCCCTATCTTGAGCCAGATCAATCCAATCCATACCATCCCATCCTATCTCTCTAAGATCCGTTAGAATATTGTCCACCCACCCATGTCTTGGGCTTCGTAATGGTCTCTTTCCATCTGGCTTTTCCACCAATATACTATATACATTCCCTTCGGTTATATTCGTGCTAAATGCCCTGCCAATCTCATCCTCCTTGACTTGATCATTCTAATTATACTTGGTGAAGAGTACAAGTTATGAAACTCTTCATTATGCAGTTTTTGCCAACCTCCTGTCACTTCATCTCTTTCGGTCCAAATATTCTCCTCCACACCCTATTCTCAAACAATAGCTGATGTATCTCATTTAATGTGAGTCCCACCTGGTTTTCCTGGACCTTCCTATTGGCATATTCTAAAGCAAAGTTGAAAAGCAGTGGCGATAAAGCATCTCCTTGTTTTAGACCATTCTGGATAGGAAATTTATCAGACAAATGTTTACCTATACAGACTCTACTATAAGTTTCGTTTAAACACATTTTAATCAATCTAACTAATCTCATGGGTACCCCAAACTCTATCAGAATATTGTACAATACTTCCTTCTTAACTGAATCATAGGCTTTCTTGAAGTCTACAAATAGCTGATGTACTGTCTCATATTCTCCAGTATCTGACAAATGAAAGAGATCTTATCATTACTTGATTTATTATGTCAAAACCCATACTGATAATCTCCAATAATTTTATCTATATATGGACTTAACCTTGAGAGAATATTGGATACAATTTTTTGTAAAGTTGATAGCAGTGATATTCCACGATATATGCCCGTCCCTTTCTTCTCTCACCTGTTTCCGTCTTGTTGTGCGATGCGATGCAACTTCCAGCGTCACTTTACCTGTTGCAGCTTCGCTCGTCTTCTCTTTGTTATCGTAGCACTCTTTAATTTCTCAGGGTTCTTTTTTTTTTTTTTTTTTATGCTAGCCAGTAGGTAGGGCAAGGAGTTCTATCCTCAGGATCGAATAAAGGACCTTAACTCAGAAGAGCACAGGGAAGATGCAAATGCACACGTACAATATTATTCTTGTTTATTGTGGCACCATTTCCTTTATAACCGTTCAGTTTACGTCCGTGCACACCAACGAATCGTAAACGACTGACTTCAAAAACCGACGCTCTGGATAGCGTCCCCTTTGGTTCCCGCTCTCCTGAATTCAAGAAACATCTTATCTTGCCTTCATTGGTCAATTTAAACTACGGGAATTTACATAACTTCCTAGATTTCCAATGGGCTGTCAGCTTTCTCCACACTTAGCCAAATTTGCTCCAACGTCTTTGCTGTCAAAAATGATGTATTCTGGGCTAAGCGTCAGAAAGCGAATACAACCCCCTTTCTTAAACTTACGACCCTTCACGCTTGTCATCTTACAATTCTCGACATGGTCGCTTTCTGTCATTCCAGCTATTCTAAGGAGACTCAGCAGGGAGTTTTCCGGTCTGCCTGGCTCTTACATGTGTGTTAAAACTAATGGTTTAACCACCTAAGTACATAAACAGGTCTATGTCCATCTACTATTCCTTACTGTAACATACTATTTTTAATACTCATAACTAAATGAAAATCAAAAAAATAAATGGAGGGCGGCATTGGACGATTATAGATAATTACTACGATCTCCATTCTTGTGAACTGGTTCAATAACAACTGCACAACAGCCAAACAAACTTGGAAGCATTCAGAACTCCATTCAAAGAAAATTTACGACTAAACATGCTGCCCAAAACAGCGAAAGCCATGGAAGAAGCTATTGCAGAATTCACTAACGCAATAAAAAGGCAGCTTGGAGTGCAACATCAGACAAGAGACCTGAAGTTAAATATCTAGAGTACACATAGAAGTCAAGGACCAAATTAAGGAAAAACGAAAACTCAGAAAAGTATGGCCGATGAGTCGGCAACCCGAAGATAAACGCAGGTACAACGAAGAGACTAGAAATTAAAAGACTAAAAAAAAGGATCAAAGAAGAAATATTTCACACAAACCTTCAAAGTTTAACGATAGCTGACGGCGACTATTCACTCTTAAATCAACCAAACGATTAGAACAACTGACACAATGCATCCTACTAATCAGAAAGGCGTACTAGACCTGGGCCCGAGGTGACAGAGAAAAAGCGAACACTTTTGCAGGACAATTATAGAAACCATTCAGACGAAAGGAATGGCAACAAAACGGAGACCTCGAAACAGAGAGCTGAAAGAAGCGCTACAAATAACACAAACAAACAAATTCCTTACACCAAACGAAATCCAAAACATATTACAAAAGGATCTGGATATGACCTAATAACAGGGAGAGTACTAAGAGAAATGCCAAGAAAAGGCGTTATCCATTTAACAGCTATACGCAAAGCAATTATTAGAAAGGGATATTTCCCAGTTCAGTGGAAAGTCGGACAGATCATAACCATTCAGAAACCTGGTAAACCGCTAGAGGAAGCAAGATCAAATAGACAGATCAGCCCACTCCCAATAATGAGGAAACTTCAAGAAAGCTATGCCCAAGAGATTATGTCCGATACTAGAAGAAAACCGAATCCTCCTGGACCACCAGTTTGCATTTCGACAGGAACACTCTACCGTGGAATAAGTACACGGAATTACAGAGATCACAAGCGGAAGCGTTCCTAGACATCACACAAGGGTCTGAGAAAGTATGGCACCCAGGCCTCTGGTTCGAAATCAGAAAAATCCTTCTCCATGCATATTACAGAACATTAGATCATATCTAATGAACAGACTCTTTCAAGTAAAATTCAAAGACGAATTCACAATGTTAAGGAAAACTGAAGCAGGTGTACTGCAAGGAAGTGTCTTAGGACCACACAAATGCACTAGCAGTGAACCTACTAGACAACAGTGAAACAACACATAGACTGAAAAGATACACCGTCCCAACTCTACCAGACAGACCTGAGTAAAACCCCAATACAAGAATTAAAATGATACCTAAACTTATCCCTCTAACAGGCCGTGAAGGCCCATTGGGGTTGTGAGACGTCGAGGCTCCCACATTTTCTACACAATCGGCTCACAGATGGCGGCCAGGTTGTCAGCCTTACGCGCCGGCTGCCCTTTACCCCTAGGAAGATTCCTGGTGCTCATTTCTGTTAGAGGCTGAGTTGACCCAAGGGCCATTAGATAAGGGTTTGATAAATTGAGAAAGCCAATGACCGCATTGGGAATCGAACCCGCTACCTTCTGGCTTGTAGTATTGTGCCTCAGCCAAGTACGCTACCGCGTGCCCCTAAAATGATACCTAAGTGGAAAACAAGAAAGAAAAATATGTATGAGTTACGCCACTGAGCATAACTCGTTCACGAGCCAGTACTTATTGAACATATTATTTATATTTATAGCAGTCTCTGCAGATTATTTATAATAAATACGTGAAATTTTTATATATGTCATATTTAGGTGCCGAGTTACTCAGATAACATAGACAATATAAAAAACACAATTGGAATGGAAATTCTTGATGTTTTAAATGGTCACTTCTATTAATATCATTTTTCTTAAATATACGTATCTGACGGTCGCATTTGAAAATCGCTTTCTTAATCTCTAAGGTAGGGCGGGGATTTTTTTCTGTTCGGAAGCCAGAGGGGGGCTATTTCAGTCACTGTGGATCAAAGAACCTAGAGAGAAAAAAATGTAAAAAATATAAAGTTGTCATTAATTATTTGCACTGACTAGACATGCGTTATAGACTCCTATATGAATTGCATTTACGAATTACATTAGTAATAACTCATACGGGATATGAAGGTGATTAAGACATGCATTAGAACGAATCTCGGGGTGCCCCTACTTGTCCTTCTCATATGTAATCACAGGTACAGTAAATAATGGACAACATGTGAACTAGGAAGATTTAAGGCTTTCACGGCGGTGACTATGAAGAAAGCAGTCTTCTGGGATTTGGCACCGTGTATATGTGGTGTTAACCGACGTTTCGGAGGAACGTATCGCCTCCATCTTCAGGGTAGAAGAAAAAATATAAGAATCTGCAAGCGAAGAGACCGTGAGAACCATCTACCCTGAAGATGGAGGCGATACGTTCCTCCGAAACGTCGGTTAACACCACATATACACGGTGCCAAATCCCAGAAGACTGCTTTCTTCATGTGAACTAGGAGTTTCACTACTTAATTTCCACCAAAGTCTAGAGTTTTGTTTATTTTATTTCTTGAGCGAACACTTCCCGCATATTATGAAATTAAAAATTAGTAAAATACTATTATTTTTTAATATTGATCCGGTCAGGACTAAATTTTCGCGTTACCTGCTTCGACGCTTCAGCACAATGGAATAAGACTAACAACTTTTCTGTTTTCAGTTTAGCGACGAAACTATTTCCACGTGTGTCTGAGGAAACCGCAGCGTGTACATCCGCGCTAAAGGTCATACCCATATGCACTGAAGCATATTTCCTACTGAGGCGAAAGGAAAATCTTCACCTCCCGTTCGCAGCGGTTTCATTGTTTAGGCCCGCCCTCCAGCTGGCACTGTATGAAGTTACTTTTGGCACGACGCAAATTCACAACACGTCCCGGAACAAGTCCGACAAACGTGTACTATCGCGTGCCTTGTGCAATACAGTGTTTCTTTTAACCGTTGGACTTCTCTTCTAAAAGTGAACAACGTATTTTAACGGTCAGTGACCCAACATGTCGTATAAAAATGTAATGGTTCGTCGATTTCAAGAATAAACACAATTACGGACTAACCAATGGATGCTGGTAATGCAGTTATGCTGTATATTCAAGAAAGAAATGCAATTTAGGTAAGAATTTTTCCCTTTTATCGAAATAATAACATTACAAATCTGTTGCAACAGTATTTTAAATACTCTAACTGAAATGCTGAAGTAAATAACTGTGACAACTGTGAGTGCGCTTGAGTTGGAGCGTTCGTAAGGACAGGTGTCGACATGGAGACTCTTGTACGACTAGTTATCCAGCTGTGTCTGCATGCTGTTACTATAGGCCACTGGAATTTCGCATGCATATTTCCGCTTTCTGCATAGAAGAATGTGTTATAGAACAGAGCCAAGCAATGGATTTGCACATTAGGCTAGCATTTGTTCCTGTTACAATGAAATAACAATAAACTGGCGAGTATTGAATTTGTTTTCCTTAATTTCTTATTTATTAGTTAATATGCTTGAAGGAAAGAGAGCACATAGGAAATATACATGCAGTTGGGAAGGTAATGTTAAACGACTCTTAACGAAATGGTGTGAAGGTTTGGACTGGATTCGGCGGTGTAGGTTAGGTCCAGCATCGTGAACACGAATGTCTCTGTACGTATTACATTATATACGTAATACTACAGGCTGTATTGCTATGCCATCACCATATGACAGGTACAAGTTTTGTTATTTAATAATTTTAATTATACCTGAGGTTTCGTAGCATTATACTATACTCAAATAAATAGGTTGATTACAGAAATGTATCTATGGCCTTCAAATACGATACAAAAAATCAAGGTCTTCTTATTTCGGTCCCTATAAGCGATGAAAATTTTATCAGTATCCATCAAGCAGTTTTCGAGAAGATTGGGGTTTCACTTTTGAGCCCCAACTGCGTATACCGTTGTGAAACCGTGTGAGGTCCCACACAGCACTACTTGCTTCAACGGATTACACACAGTGACACAACACAGACGGACATATGGCAACAATATAACAGTCTATAAGATATTTTACATAAACGAAGACTGTCATTATGTTTCACTACTTAAGCGACAAGACCTGTAATATATTTTGACTGATTTTAATTAGCTACATTCAATATATACAACTTACTTTGGCCACGTTAACATTTTATCGCGACGTCTAATGCTAGCATAAATCCTTTTGTGGCAACTTCTATTCAAACATATGTGTAAAGTAATTCCTCCTGGTGTTCGCCACGTGCCCCGATGATGTCCAGTAGTGGCCGAAACACGTAAAGAAAAACTTTTATATTGTCCTAGTAAGCTTGTGGGGGCACGCGGTAGCGTATTTTGTTGTGGTATTATCCTACAAACCAGAAGATCGAGGGTTCGATTCCCAAAGGGGTAATTGGATTTTTTTTTCAAATTGGCCTAATCCTTGCAGCCGCGCTATTGCCCCGTGTCGACTCAGCCTCTGACAGAAATGAGTACCAGATATCTTCCTGGGAGCAAAGTGCGTCAGCTAAGTCTGACAATCTTACCGCCATCTGCGAGCCGATTGTCTGGAAGATGTGGAAGCCTCGACGTCTCACAACCCTATGGGCCTTCATGGCCTGTTACAGGGATAGCAAAACCATTAATTAACAACTGCTGTTGTATAATTTATCATTCCGTTGTCGTTGCTTAGCATTAGGTGTACATGCCACAGTGCTTTGAGACGATGCCAAAAACAAGAGGTTTAAGGGATCTAATCAGTTTCTTCGCTAAACATGAAGCTTTCCTCCGGAGGTCCTATTGATATGCAAGACAGGATTGTGGATGTAGGAGATGAATGAAATAAAATAGCACTGACCGTCAATACAGCCACGGTTAAATTTCCATTGTGACACTGCCAACTCGTTCAGACCGGCTCCGAAAGTCATGCAGCTTTCAATATAATGGACGCAGTTTATAGAAGTAATAGTTCTCCCGTGTTTGTCTTAAAATAAACCGTACCAGAAAGGCCGCGCCATAGCTTAAGCACTTAGTCGCTGGCTTCCCACTGCGGCGGCCTGGGTCCGACCCCGGGTCTGGTCAAGTGGGATTTGTGGTGGATAAAGTGGCGCTGGGGCAGGCTTTCTCAGAGCACTTCGGTTTCCCCTGCCAATCTTCATTCCACCAGATTCTCCATCATCATATTCTCCCGGGGCAGGTACAAGAGGCCAATCAGTGGCCTCCGTGCCGAGTGGACCCAGCTGGACTCCACCACCCACTAAGCGAACTGTACTAGAAAAATTAAATTGTAAATCACACAGAGGGCATTATTTACTGGGGATCGACTGGGGGCGGTCGCCCTGCGCGTCGACAAAACAAATAGAATTCATAGATTTTATTGAGATATTTGCTTCTCTAAAATCACGAGACGTTAGTGCATACTTTAAACTATTAAAAAAAACTCCGTGATTTTAGTCAGCAAGCGAACTATACTGACCGAGCGACTGCCGCTTGTCGGCGAAATTTATGCCAACTTTCGCGGATAGAGGGTGTCTGGTCAGCGCAACGAATCCCCACGGCCGTCAATTTGAAATAGGACCTTAATTATCATCACGAGGCTGAGTGGACCCCGTTCCAGACCTACTACTTCTCCTAAAAAAATCTGGTAGCACCGGAAATGGAACCCGGACCTCTGGATCTGTAGCCAGGAACTCTGGCCACTAGACCACAGAGGCGGTACACTTTTAACTATTATAGTTAATATAACAAAAAATTACTAAAAATAATTGTCACAAACTAATCGTAATATTTTGATTGGCCCGAGGCCCCCACAACTATAAATCCGACCCTGCTCAAATACCATCTTTAGAGAACTCTCATTGTAATGCCTGTAGATATTTGTATGTTAAATTATTCTTAACTAACTTCATAAACAATGTAATAAGTGAAGACTACAATCTTCATGGATATGACGTCGTGTAGCCTGCTATTTACCTACGTTCTGGAGTAACCCCGAAGACCTCATGGGGTCACAGTCCAAAAGACAGTATTTTTTTTTATTGTTGCTAGTGGGGTGGGACTAAGTCCCTTGTACTACGGCCACTTCTGGCCTATTGTACCAGCTCCAGATGATAGGTGAGGGTGATTGTGGAGCAATTGGTGGGATGAAGATTGGCAGGTGAAACCGAAGTACTCGGAGAAAACCATCCCCAGCGCCACTTTGTCCACCACAAATCCCACTTGACCAGACCCGGGATCGAACCCGGGCCGCCGCGGGGGGAATCCAGCGACTAACCGCTTGAACTATGGCGTGGCCCCAAAAGACAGTGACTTCAGTCACTGCTGAAGACCATATCTAACATCGTCAATAATATCTACAAAGACACTGCCCATACTTCCCCTGCACGACTGACCTTGACTACGCAGCCTTGTAAACACAATCGATTGTTGTTCGCTAGCCAGTGTTAGTCTCTAATTGTCCAAGCTTGGACATGGTGGCCTTCCATAACCATTTTGAAGTCCCTAGTACGCGTACCATCGTTTTCCTGCGGGGGCCAGTCTGAAGTGCCCCTATTTTTGGACCTATAATATTTATATTCAGAGACCACCGACCTAACTGTAAGATGGACACGCTCTTCAGAACCGAATATAAATAAAACACGTCCCGTTGCTCAGGAGCTTGTGGGGAAGTACATTCATCCCCATATACAGAGGGGTAGAACTTGGCCGGCCCTTTCACCACGCCATCATCAATGGTCTGTTATGCGCCCCCCTCTGTATCAACCCTTCAACAATCCTACACTTCAAATGAAGTGTAGTATTTTACTTACAGGAGTGCCTTGATAGCCACCTGGCTCCATGAGGTAACGGCTCAGGTGGCAAAATCTAAGGTAGGCTACAGCCCCACAGTCTCATAGGATGTGTGTGGCTGATTAATCTTTTTCTAAGCAGTTCACAAATGGGACTATCTGCCGATCCCATTTCGGTGTCTTTCAGGTGACATTGTCCTGTGAGTAGTCCTGTCACCCACCTTAACTTGTTTCTGTTTATTCTTAACAGTTCCTTGGTTTTTCTGACAGAGGGTCCTTGTACGAAGGCCTCTGCATATTTGAGACATGTTAACGACCCCCAGTATTTTTTTACGGTCTCTGTCCAGTCCCTGACCTGACAACCTTCTTGACAGTTCTTGCTGAAATGTCGCAAGCTGGTTCAGGTCCTATGAGCTGATATTAAGCTCTCAATTATCCCTGTTGATCGGCCATTCCATTGCTACCTGCTTCAGGTTGGTTTCTTGCTTGGCTTATTTTTTGACCCTGAAGATGAAGGCGATATGTTCTTCTGAAACAGACTACATGGCGTTGTATTCCAAAAGACAGAACTCTTCACAACCACCGCTGTGAGAACCTCAAATCCCACATTATAGCATGACGCACAAGAATTTTCGTAGATTAAATTCGTAACTTTTGGAGGTGTCGATTTCTCCCCCCTCCACCTTTTGATACTGTAAGTCAGTTGGAAATGCCGAGGCTCCACTGTATTAGTAGCTATGATGTCTGAAATGAATGACAAGTTCCCGTGCTGAAAATACTGCATTAGAATGAGAGGAAACATTTTTGTTGTCCCTGGTGGTTATGTACGTTTAACCACTCCAGGTCCTTGGACTCACATGATTCGTCTGGCCTTCAGAATAAAATTCTTGCTTGTCACGCCGTATGAAGAAAACTGTATTCCCACATTAAAACGGACTTTAAACTTTCACGTACGTAAAGTAGCATTATATAGTATTTACACCTCTAACAACTAAGGGGTTTTAAAACTAACAAAAACTGAAAATTTATCACGGCATAATGCAGAAGTACAGTGTATACATCTTTCGTTGCCATGATTATAAAATATGTGGAAGTCAATTATTCATTGCCACAATGGTTCCAATACTTTTCTTGTGGAAAAATAATGAGGCAAGAAATTAACAACTTCCCCTCGTTGTTTCTCGGAAAGGGATATATTTCATCTTCGTCATCTTGCTTCTGCGACGTGCCGTTTGAGAGTAGCAAGGTGGGGATTGAAATACAGATATTTTGCTTTTATATGTATACTTCTAAAGCCGGGTATCGATTGCGCGCTGCTGCCGTTCTAGTCAATGTTCGTTGC